TGGGATTTTGGTATATCCTGGTTAAAAGAGTTCGATGGCGCTCAATCATGGCGACTGAGGAATGAAAATTTTTCTTATCGGGATTTGATTTTGAGTTAAAACGGTGGGGGTACTTGTACTAGTGGTTGGACTCTTCTTTTCGATGTGGCGGTCCGCGAGTCCAAAATTGGTCTGGGTAGTTGGTTTCGCAATAAAGACGACATATGTCAGACAACCTTTGCTACTTTTGTTGAGGGTTCATTTTCTCCTTTATTAGCGGAAGCACTGGCGCTCTGTCTCGGTCTCCACTTTGCATTGGACTCAAACTTAAAGGTGCAGGCGGTACTAACGGAATCCCTAGAAGTTGCAGGCTCGAATTTTTTGCTATAATGATTTGGTAAGTATTGATACTGAATTTGTTATGTCAACCTCCATTATTACACAAGAATATACATTCCTCTATTTTGGTTTAAAAGTATTATTTATTAGTGATAATTCTCTATAAGAGCTAATTCATATTTGAATACGCATCTTCCTCTTAGTAATTTGTCTGGTTTCATCTAGTTGAATAATATTTTTGTTTGAAAAGATAATCGACAAAACATAGTAATCAACAATACAGTTTTGCTATCCGATGTCTCAATAGAATTTCTGATCAACAAGATTTAAAAATAAAAATTGGTTAGCACTCAAAGTATATTAAGAGTGCCCTATTATTATTTACGAGAAATGCTCATCTACTCACGGTGAGCACATGTTAATATGCCTACCGCGTATGTGGCATGCACTCATTAGTGATGTTAATATGTTTAAAAAAATACATCATCAATGAATACATGCCACCTACGCGGTGGACATATTAACATGTGTCCACCGTGGGTGGGTGAGCATTTCTCTGATATTTACTACCTCAACAATTATATACCCAATTATAGACACTGTATAAAAACCCTTTTTATTCATTGAGAACAAGTGATGAGACAATACACGTGGCAGAATCAATTTTGAAGGTAAGCAAAAAATCACTTCTTTCCTTGACAACCACTTTATGAATGTCATGCACATTCTTTGCTGCTGTCTGAAAACTTTGATCTTTATTCCTTTGTGTGGATGATTTTTCCAAATTCCAATCATCAAAGGTTTTTCATCTCTCTCTTTTGTTAAGGATTACATAGTTAAAAGCAAGCTAAGACTTCTATTCATGAGTATGAATGCATACACGAAACGAGCCGTTCGTGAACTCGTTTAAAGCTCATTTAATTAATGAGTCAAGCTCAAACGCATTAAGGCTCATTAGTCATTAGGATTCAAAAAAAGATTTTTTTTTTTTATTTAATTATTTATAACTTGGTTGGTTAATAGTGACAAACGAACTGAACTCATGTTTGCTTATTTGCTCGTTTAGCTCAGCTCGGCTTAATAAAATGCTCAAGCTCGATTCAGATCGTTTATACCCCTATTCATGAGGCTTGATTATTTATAAGTACACTCAATTTGTATTATAAGCCAACATGTAGAAAGTTGGTGTATGTAGTTGTTAACATGAGTGTTTGTGTGTATTGATCTAATGGTGAAAAACTCGGGCAAAATCATATTCGATTACCTGATTTGATCCCAATGCAACTTATTTCTCCCGTATTGATCTAACAATGAAAAACTCGGGCAAAATGCATGCTCGATTACCTGATTCGACCCCGAATCAACTTATA